CTTCGTCAGCCGCTTTCCATCTTCAAGAAGCAGGATAACACAGTGATTAGGAGACTGATCTTCAGAATTAGGCCTGGACTCAAAATTAAACAGGACTATTTGAAACTGTTTTAGGCATGCTTTTTCACCAGTCTTGAGTTTCAGTTTTTTGCCCTTAAAATGGAGATAACAAGAGCTTCCCACAGAGTTGTTGTAAAGGTGACAATAAGACAATGTATATAAAATACTGGCACATAGTAAATGCTCAGCAAATAGAAGCATTCATCATTGGGTTTTCATTGTGGAGGCTGGGGTGGACTCTTTGCTTTCCTAAAGACTCTTCTGGGTTCCAATGTGGGTATTGGGATGATCTTGTCTATTTAACAGATACAAGATTTTAGAAGGAACTTGGTCCAGACTCATGGAATTCAGATCATCAACTTTCTCAGGTTTTCCATCTAAGAGATAAATGAGCAGGAGGTCAAAGGAAGAAATCAGGTAAGGGGAGACATAAATAAGTAGGTCCTTAGAAGAAGGAGACAGTAAGTAGAAAAGTAAGAATTACAAGAAAAGGAAAGAGCATTCTACTCAGTTAGAAAGTCCTGAAAATGAGTGTCAGAACTAATGCTGGTGCCCATAGAGCCTAAGGCTATGCATTCGGGGAGTGAGCCAATAATCCTGGGACCGCCTTGGCTAAAATGTGGGTTGTGCCAACAGGAGAGAGAATAGAGGGCTTTGGTGGAAATGAAACCCCCACAATCAGAATTCTATTTCTTCCAATGTCTCCCCTTCCCAATCACATTAACAAAAGAATATCCATTACCCATGCACTTGTGGAACTTGTTACAAAGCAGACAGAGGCATATGCATCCTCAGTCCCAACGGTCTGAAGTTGAGATGCCCTCCCTGAAGCTAGAGTGTACTTCTATCTCCATGATACCTCTGGAGCCTACAAAAATGGCTGACAGGACTGATGTCAACCAAGCATCCAGTGAAGACTCCCAATGCCATTTAGAACAGGGACCATTAATACCTGGGTCTTGGTTAATCAGAGTCTGATTAGAAATGCATGTTAAATTTACTGGTGTGGGTTAATAGGGCGATGGAACTGCCTTGTAAAGCAGATGTTAGCTACTTCTTTCATCTTGAAAGTAATCGTGGGGCTATGTAATGGCCAGCTGCCTCAAGAAGGCCCAAGGGAAATGTAGGAAAAGGGGAAAAATAAATAAAGGAAGAGAGGCCAGGAGCCAGTAACTGGAGTTGAAGTAAAAGATGGAAAAAGAAAAGGAAGAATTAAACACACACCATGGGGAATGGCCCCATGTTAGATGTCTTTGAGCAGTTCTGTTCCACGGAGTATTTGCATGGGTCCCATGAAGTATTTACATTTGCTTATAGCTACCACTCATATGTGAACTTAGTTTGCCCTGAAGAAAGAGAGGATGGAGCTTGCCCTCTCTGTGGAGATCCCTCCCCAAGGGACTAAAGAGTCCCTGATATTAGGAGGAAATCTATTTCCAAAGCCCCCCTGCCACCCTCAGACCATCTCTTTGCTCAGGAAACTTTAGTTATTATATAAATAAGAAAATAGATAAAGGGTACTTTCCTGGAAAGAGAAGGTATCAGAGGCCTTGGACAGAAGGAATGGAGAGGAGAATCTGATAAGGACCATAAATGAGGAGAACAGGTGATGCATGCACAGGATGGGGCAGGTGAAACCACAGTGCAAGATGGGCGATAATAAGCATCAAATGGGAGACAATAAGCATTAAGATGGGAGATAATAAGCATCAGATGCAGCAAAGCCCCACAGGCATGGGCAAGGGAGAATCTCCTGGATGCCCAGGTGACAGCAACTAAAAGGAATCACCTTTATGTGGCTATGATGGAGGCTTTCAATGATAAAGGACTTTGGCAGTCCTGGAGTATAAAACAAATGTGCAAAAGACAGTTGTATTCTTATACACCAACAACAAGTAGGCAGAGAACCAAGTCAAAAGTGCAATCCCTTTCACAATCGCCACAAAAAAAAAAAATGAAATACCTCAGCATCTTCCTAACCAGAGAAGTGAAAGACCTTTACAATGAAAACTATAAAGCACTGCTTAAAGAAATCCAAGAAGGCTCAGACAAATGGAAAAATATTCCATGCTCATAGATAGGAAGAATCAACATTGTTAAGATGTCCACCCTACCAAAGGCAACCTACAGATTCAATGCAATGCCCATTAAATTACAATATTATTCTTCTTAGACTTGGAAATGCCAATACAGAAATTCATAGCGAAACAAAAATGACCACGAATAGTCAAAACAATTTTCAGCAAAAGAAACAAAGTGGGAGGTATCACACTTCCAGACTTTAAACTTTACTATATGGCTACAATAATCATAACAGTCTGGTATTGGTTCAAGAATAGGTATATGGAACAATGGAACAGAATGGAGATTCCGGAAGTAAAACCTCAATTTCTCAACCCACTAATCTTTGACAAAGCCTTCACCAACAACCACTAGGGAGAGGAGAACCTATTCAGTAAATGGTGCTGGGAAAACTGGCTGACCACATGCAGAAGATTAAAGCAAGACCCCTACTTATCACCATACACAAAAAAAACCCAACTTGAAATGGATCAAAGACCTAAACTTAAAGTCTCAATCTGTAAGAACCTTAGAAAATGCAGGAGACACCCTTATGGAAATTGGAACTGGAAATCAATTCCTGATCAAAACCCCAGATGTCTGTGCCATAAGAGATAAGATAGACAAGAGGGACCTTATCAAACTGCAAAGCTACTACAAAGCAAAAAAAACCATCACGAGAAGGGGAGACAGCCCACAGAATGGGAAAAAATATTTTCAACTGTGTATCTGACAATGACCTAACATCCAGGATCTACAGGGAGCTCAAACATGCTGAAAGGAAAAAAACAAACAGTCCCATTAAAAAGTGGACAAAAGACATGAATAGACATTCTCAAAAGAAGATATACGGGCAGCCAAGAGACACATGAAAAAGTGCTCAGCCTCACTAATCATCAGAGAAATGCAAATCAAAATCAAATTGAGATACCACCTAACTCCAGTAAGAATGGCCATCATTAATAAAACAAACAACAACAGATGCTGGTGAGGATGCAAAGAAAAGGGAAGGTTTCTACATGGCTGGTGGGAATGCAAACTAGTGCAACCTCTTTGGAAGACAGTGTGGTGATTCTGAAAGAACTAGAAATTGACCTTCCATACGACCCAGTAATCCCTCTATTGAGAATATACCCAGAGGAACTGAAATCGTTCTACAAAAAAGATACCTGCAAACACATGTTTATTGCAGCACTATTCACAATAGCAAAAACATGGAACCAACTATGCTGCCCATCGAAACTGGACTGGGTTAAAAAAAGTGATACATACACAAAATGGAATATCATGCAGCAGGACAAATATAAACAAAAGAGGGACAAACATATGGATTTTGCAGCAACTTGTACGGATTTAGATTCTATGATAGTGATCTATCACAGAAACAAAGAACAGATTACCACATGTTCTCACTCATAAGCAGACCTGAACATTTACCATAATACTACATGAAAGAGATTGGTAGTAGCAGGATACTGCCAGGGTTGGGGGGTGGGACACAACATCAGTAAGGGTACCTGATCTCAAACCAGGCAAAGTGGGGACCAACGGGAGGACCAAACTTTACCTGTACAATGACCACTTACATACCTAATCCTGAATTGTACCCCACATCTTTAAAATAGAATAAAATAATAAAAATGAAAAAAAAAGAAAGAAAGTGGCCTTAAGTCCACCATTGGATAGATGCATGATCTGGCTCCTCTATGGCTTGGATCCTCTTTCTTTCTACTCTCCTCCTCTTCTATCCTGCATTACTCAGGCTAGCCTCCTTCTTATTTCTTCTTGACACAACAAAAAAGCTTCTACTTCAGGCCTGTTGCCTTTGCCTGGAATGCACGTCTCTGCTTAATTCTCACCTAATGGATACCGCTTCCTGCCACCGAACTCCCTGCAATTCACCTGATCTGCTTTAATTTTTTCTCTTCTTTTTCTTTCTTTTTTTTTTAAAGAACTTCTGAATATTGCTTAGCACACTGCAGGTCTCATTAAACATTTGATGAAGGAAGGCAGAACCAAAACCCACATATTTGTTGTATATATAAAGAGTTTTATTAGTTGGAGTGCTTGGTGTTTCAGGTTGGACCACCTACAAGGAATAGGAGAGTAGGAGAAAGAGGGAAACCACTGCAGGAGAGAAGCTTGGTAAGAGTTGCTGTGTTCTGTTTTTTAAAAACCCAGATTTAAACCTTGACTCCTTGGGTTGCAGGTGTGTGGTAGCTGACCTCAAAATTGCCCCCAGTGATCCTCAGTCCCTGATATTCATGCCCTGTGTAATTACCTTCCATCTGGAATAGGATTGACTTATGTAACTTAAAGGATATTGCAAAAAGGATGGTATGCAACAATAGGCTTGCTCATAAGAGACTGTGGCTTCTGGCTTTCTCTTTCTCAGATCACCCATCTTGAAGAACTCTAGGCACCATACAGTGAAGACACTCAGGTACCCATGGAGAGAACATCAAGAGGAGGAACTGAGGCCTCTTGACATCAGTCAGCACCCTGGGAGTGAGCCATCTTGAAAGCAGATCCAACTCATCAAGTCTTCAGATGATGTAGCCATGCCTGACACTGTGATAGCAACCTGAGAGACCCCAAGTCTAAGTAAAACACCAAAATTCCCAACCCACAGAAACTATGTGAAGTAATACATGTTTATTACTGTTTTAAAAGACTAAGTTTGAGAGTAATTTGTTTCACAGCAATGGAGAATGATCATAAAGCAAATGACATGGGGACCAGCGATCCCAGGTTTGAGTTGAGACAAGTGTAACTAGGATTGTATCTTTCAGTGATTAACTGTGCAGCCCATTTCCCCTTCTGGAGCCAGCTGGTCTTAATTTGATTCTGCAACTCTTAGTAGCCACAAATGCCACCTGTATCCTCAATAAACTTTATTGAGACACAAATAGACACAACAGAAAATACATACACATATACAGATTTTTTTTCTCTATACGATGAACAAACATCACATAGGGAATTTAAAAAGTAGATGCATGAAACGTTAAGAAAATATTGCAAAGTTCCTTGTTTACTCACACTTGAAACAGGCACATATCTCAGAGGAAGACAGGGATATACTATCCCTACAACAGAATTCACATTTGGTCTATAACAGCACACAGGTGTTAGGAGGTAATCAAAGGAGTTGGGGAACCAGTTACTCTTGATGTGACAGAATGCTCACAACACTAGTAGGACTCTGTTTAAACAAAAGACAGAATTGAGGAGGAGTCCATACTCCCTGCACAGATGCTCTGCCAGCTGTCAGCTAGGACGTAAAGCAGCTCAGTAGAAACTCTAGATTAGCTTTTTTCTTGTGGCTTGAAGGTCTGCATAACCTCTACCTTTGTGTCCACATCACAGAGTGTTTACAGAGACACACTTAGAACGATGAAACTCTCCACATGCACGCTGGTTTAGAAACCCACAGTACAGAACATTGACATCCGTTTAGAAAATGTGATTTTCAAAAGGAAAAGGAATAATAGCCAAGAGGAGAACAAACACTTTGTAAATGCTGCCACATCTATTGGCAGTGTTTCCCACCGTGATCCCTGTGGTCCCCTCTTACAGGGAGCCACCGGCATCTGTGTCTTGCTTCCTGCCACAGGTGGAGTGGAATGGATGTCTCTTGGAAGTCTACTGCCCTATAAAGTCACACCTGTGACCTCTTGGTCACTACTGTCAGAAGTCATGCATGTTACCAGGACAAGATGCCATGGAACCACCCCAATTATTCCTGTCCCAGACAAGCCTCTGGCCTCCACACCATCTTCATATTTCAGATCGGGGTTCCCTAGGCAACCTCTGTATTTTAGTAAAAAATTGTTTCCACTGTACCCTTCGTGTGTCCTCTTCCTAATGTGACAAATCCAGATGAGATGAAGTTATGGAGATCTGGTCCTCCACTTCGGTAAGCATCCTTCCCATAATGCCCTGCAAGAAGATGGGGCAGAATTACCTGACACATCCACGACACTAACACAGAAGACAACACAACTCCATCTCACCCAGCAATGATGGTGTGCTTATTTTCAAGCAGCTAGTCAGAAGATGGAAGTAGTCAGGAATACATACATATATATACAAATATAAATATTTATATATAATATATATTTATATATGATATCATATATGTAAAATATATATTACTGAAACATATACACACATATATGTATATATACATACATACATATATCTATTACTGTGCAACAAAGTCCTGAGAACATTACATTGAAAGCAGAGGAAGGTAAAAGAGACACATGGCTTAATTTTGGCATTTTTGACTAAGCACAGGGTACAGAATGTTGGTCTATTCCATCATCCTTTTCTTTGTCTCACCTTCCTTCTTTCTCTTTCTTGCCTTGTTTATTTGTTTCTTTCTTTCCAAAGTCCATCCCACTTAGTGATCTATCACAGAAACAAAGATCTGAGTACCACATGTTCTCACTCATAAGTGCACCTTGAACATTTATCATAATACTACATGAAAGGGATTGGCAGTAGTGGGCCACTGCCAAGGACGGGGGTGGGGGTACCTAATACCAATAAGGGTATCTGATCCCAAACCAGGCAAAGTGAGGACCAATGGGCAGCCCAAACTTCACCTGTATCATGACCACTTACATACCTAACCCTGAATTGTACCCCTCATCTTTAAAATTAAAAAACATATATACATATGGGCGCCTGAAGGGAACTGCTTCATGTATGTGTATGTTTAACAATCATACTACCACCTATGGGCCTATATACAGTTTTGTGACTTTAGAGAAATCCAACATCAGCTGAGGTTGACAAGTAGAATGGTGGTTATAAAGCAGTGAGAAATTTTGCATAGGCTTTTCTTCCTTGACCTTCTGCAGTAGGACCTTATCTCTCAGTCACCTAAGGCAGACATCTACCTGGGGGCTTGAGGGGAGTAAAAGATGGAGAGCAACTTAGGACTAGGATAGAAATTCAAAGAGAAAGAAGCTAATGTTCCACTTCTGATATTCAAAATAGGATTTTACAGTATGCTTGAAATACAGGCATTGTAAAGAAAGAAAGGCCTCCCTAAATGCCATCCTGAAGTATGTACATATGAAAATGGAGAAAAGTCATTTATTTCATGTTGCCACAAGAGCGTATTAAAAATTGTACTTATAGCTATAACAATGCATAGAACTACTTGAGCTATAATGTTAAGTTTAAAAGTGGACAGAATATGATACATTAAACAGGATCACAGTGCTATAACAATTCAAACCAGTGCACACAAAGAAAAAAAAAGATGGAAAGAAAGCACACCAAATTACTAACAAGTACTTGGACAGTTGAAATTTGAGTGCTATTTCTTCTATTCTTTCAGCTTGACTATATTTTTTGAATTCTTTTCTATACAAATATGCAATTTTTCTAATATAAGTAGGTAAAATAAATGTCTAATAGAAATGTTTAATGCAAAGACAACTCATGCCACAATTTTTCTTAGAGGGGCACATTCTGGATCATAGATCACAACATTGGGTGCAATCTGGAACCTTTCAGGAGTTTTTAAAAACACACACCCTCCAGACTTTACTCCAGAGAGTCTGGTTCAGCTGGGCAGCATTTGGGCGTAGGCAGGGGTATTTTTAAACAGCTGTTAGGTGATTCTAATGTGTTGCCAAGAAAGAGAATCACTGCCCTGGTATAAGTGGAAAAACAATCTAAGTTCATTTTATTCAGGTGGGTTCAATGAGCACCTCTTAGGTGCCCAGCACAAACTAACTCCAGAGTTCTAGGCTCCAGGGTTCTAGGCTCCAGTGTTCTAGGCTCCCGTGTTCTTCTGGAGAATGGAGTCTAGCTCTAGTTCCTTCCTGCTTATCCCGGATCTCAAACCTGAACATGCATCAGAACAGCCAGGAAAGCTTAAAACACATTGCTGGGCCCCACTCCCAGAGTTCCTGATTCAGTAGATCTGGGATAGGCCTCAAGAGTTTGTACTTCTATCAAGGCCCCCAGTGATGCTGATGCTGCTGGGCCAGGGACCGCACTCTGAGAATTGATGTCCTAGAGTATCAGGAACATGAGAATTTTGCTACTGTTTCCCTCATGCCCTCCCCTCTGGAATATATTACCTCATTCCGCAGGGCACACAGCTTTCCAGGAGGAACATTCTTGCTGTAAAATACTGTGGTCACAATCCATCGTTTTATAGAATAAAATTATTAGAGCTGAACTAAGAGGCTTCTGCCTGTATCCCAGGTCATGTGATAGCTCAAAAGCCGAACTCTATTACCTGGATAAATGTATCTTCACCAGCGGGAGAAGAAGGAGGCAGTCAGGGGTATGTGGAAGTGTGCACTGCCAGCCCCAGGAGGGCTGGGTCCCTTCTTCTGTAATCCTGTCCCTTTCCCTTCACCCCACTCCACAAGCTAATAGAGGAGTAGGAAAAAGAAGGAACAATTCAGAACCCTCATAAATTTGATCCTCATTAATTCAGAACTTGTGATACATCCTGCAGAATTTGGGCTGGTTTATTTTTGTGCTCCTCATAAATAACATTTTTGATAAACAAATCAATACTGAGGAAGATGGAACATAAAACTGTGCCTGTTCTACTTACAAATCATTCTTATCTGTCAGCTGGAATAAGGTCCCTAAGGACTAAGCATTGCTCTAGTGCTTGGGTGTGATGCTTGTTTGAAAAAAACTGAAACCTCCGGATCACCTACTATGCACCAGATGGAGGGATAGAGCCTTTGCAAACATAGCTTTTTTCTTTTGACCTAATAATTGCTATCATTTTATAGCATTTTGGGGTTTACAAAGATCTTTGACATACACGATTTACTTAAAATATTAGTCAATGCTGAGTGGTAAGTTGTTTGTTATTACTATTATCCCATTTTCTTGATGGAAAAACTGAGATCAAAATGTCAAAGTTGGTAGATGAGCTCTAGCACCCAGGTCTTCTGACCCCAAATCTCATGCTCCTTCCAGTGTATACACCTGGCTTCATTTACTCCTCATGAGAATCCTGTGAAAAATGATCATTTTCCCAAGTTCATAGAGCTAGTTGGTGGTAGATCCTGGAATCCAACCAGGTCAAGCCACCTTCAAAGTCTACAATCTTTCTATAACTCTCACCCTAACCACCTCACTCTTGTGGCCTGAATGAACACAGCTGTGACTCATCTGAGACAGTGGCCAGGACACAGTGGAAATGTTAGATCAGGAGAATTCCACTTGGTGATACCCAAGTTTACAGAAGTTGAAGCTCAGAAATACTGAGGTTTTGAGTGGGAAAAAAAAGAAAAGATGCTGAGGTGTCAAGACACAGGACCAAGAGCATTTTTTTGACAGGAATAAAGCATTCTTTGGTCAAACCAGTTTGGAAACTGTTGAGTTAAATGAAATGAAAAGCTACACAAAAACCAATTCTGGGGACTTCTCAAAGGCAGTGAGCACTGAACTCTCAATGGAGGCTTGGTGTTTTATAAAGGCATTTCTCAAGACACTTCCCGGGAAAGCTGCCCATGAGGTTGAGGTGGAGGAAGCACGATGACAGTTTCAGTTTTTGTTTGAGCTATGGTTCTCAAACTTGGGCATGCACCAAGACTCTCCTTTATGGTGCACAGATTGCTGGGTCCTAGCCCCAGAATTCCTAATTCAGTAGATCAGAGGTGAGGCTTGATTATTTCCCTTTCTAAAAAGTTCCCAGGTGACGCTGATGATGAATTAGGTCCAAGGACGACGTTTCATGAACCACTATGGTCAGATCAGTGACAATTCAGACTTCCTGACCCCAGGTCAGGTCTAGAATGATTTACATTCTCTGTACCCTCCAAAGTTTAGCATGAACAAGGGTGATATGAAGGAAGGAAGAACTGGTTAAAGCAAAGCCTCATGCAGGTAGACAGAAGAGAAGGGAGTCCGTCAGTGCCCCTTCTTTTGCTTGGTGATTAATAGAGCTCACGGGTTGATGATACAGATGATAGGAAAGGAAATCATAAAAGTTGCTAGCTATAATACAAAGACCCCTCTCCCTTTCTCTGTCCTGCAGTAACTATCCTGAGTCTCTGCCCCTCTGTCATTTATAGAGAAGGAGGGCAAAAGAGTACAAACTTTCACCAAATTGAAATTCCAGAGAAATAACTATATATCCAGCAGAGCTCTGGACAGAGGTAGGCAAGAGCTTTGTGAAGCTCCCCGGACATTTAGCATGAGCATTCCCACATCATAAGACAGACAAACACTCAGTCCACAGCCAGGAACAAGGGTGGCTTCAAGCTTCAGAGCAAGCTTTCCACTACCTGCTAAACCGAATGGTGCAAAGCAGCCTTTGGATGATTCCCTACCTCTGATTCTGCTAGTGCCCCCTTCCTCCCTTCACCAGTGACAACCCTCCTGAAAGTAACAAAGATTTTATTCTGGCTCAGTCGCTGTCTAGGCTTCCTTGACCTCCTGTCAGAACTCCATGCCCTTCCCAAATCTCTGCAGAAGCCAGAAGTCATAGGGACGGCACCGAGGGACAACTGTCCCCAAGCAGAAGGCAGATTAAAGCTAAAGAGAGGCCTGAGGCTGGGCTCCTGAAGTATGTAATGCCGCTGGCTTTGATAAGAAAATGACCAGAAGAAACGTTTATCTGTGAAAGAAATTTTGCTGCAAGAAACAAGAAAGGGGAATGGGGTTATATCCAAATGGTGAACTCTGTAAGTCTTAACAGAATTTTTACATCTGTGGAAATTAGACCAATAGCCATAGGTGGGAAACTGATCAGGACAACTTGCCTGGGGTTGCAGACCTGGTCAACAGAATGGATATGGAAGGACATTGATAGAGTAGAGTCCAGTGGGATAAACCCACTGGGTTCCCAGTCGGGAAGGACAAAGAGATTAAAAACTCTGGGAGAAAAGACAAGGCACAGAGGACAACTTTAGAAGTCACATCTATTTAAAATAAGACTCCCA